AAAAAAAAAGGTCTTATGTTACGCAAAATTGATTCTTGTGAGCTTTAAGTCATGTTAGAACGCTGTTACCTCATCAAAAACAGACCTGGCGCTGTGTTTTGTTTCATTCACACATGTTTAAGTAACTCTTTATGACGATATCCAAGTCTCACGATATGATATCTTCACGGTATGAACCTCACCGTACGATATTTATTGCGATATCGTGGGAAAGATCACAATATGGTGGGAAGGCTCATGATTAGAGATGTAACAATATCCAAATCTCTCTGTACGATTCTTTCACGATGTACATCTCACGGTACGATATTTATTGCGATATTTTGTGATGGCTGCGAACAAAACTGTTAATATGCTACTTTTTCCTCTTAAAATGCCTTGACAAGATTTAATACAAAGAACTAAGACTTAAAAGAACTGTTATTTCTTCATGTAGTCTACACTGAAATGGAGCAAAGGATCATGGTCTATGTAGTTCTCTGTCTTTTTTTGTAGCTGTTGCTGCACCATAACTCTTAATTTAAGCAAAGAGACTTGTGATTCGATATATTGTGATGGTCCACGATATTATTGTGAGAACTTTGACAATACTGTCAGTTATTGTTACATCCCTACTGTCTACATCTCCAAAGCTCAAAATGCTCTGTTCCACCTTGTGATGTCATGAAGCGGTAGTTTTCAAGTGAACAGCTAACTTTTAACTTTTATTTAGCAGAGATGGGCAATTCCAGTGCTTCGAAATTATACTAGTGAAGGTGTATGGAGCTTAAAAACACAGTGGAGCACTTCTTGTAATACCACATGACATCACAAGGTGGAACAGTGTTTTCTGTTTTCTGAGAACTCAGCCTAAATATGCAGGTGATTTGTGTGTTCAACATGTGTGAATGAAACAAAACACAACTCCAGGTCTGTTTGTGATGAGGACACAAAATTATAACATGCAGAAGATCAGAAAATACTGTAATATCCACATAAATAATAGGCCTATTTGTAAAAAAAAAAAAAAAATCCGATGAATATTTCTTTCTTATGCAGTTGAGTAAACAAGGCAACATACGAGAATAAACTTTTCGGCCAAACTGTTTCTATGACAACATTTGGTGCATCTTATCAGAGACAGAGTTTTAATATTTAACATACAACTCTGCCTCACAGAACATCATCTATTATTTAAAATTATATTGTTATGAAAACAATGCCACACATTGTCTCTGCCTGTCGAATCACTCAATGGAATGAAGACCAGAAAGATTCATGAGTTGATGGTGTTATAAGCAATGCGTGAACAGAATGACGGTTTGCCTAATTAGGGCAGTGCGATTAATCAAATTTATAATTATGGTTTCAATTATTACTCAGTTCAATTACAAATATGTCGTAATAAAAACAGAATTAGTTACCCTCTGTTCAGAAGGATGAGTTCACTGGTCCTGCCACTCACAACCAGACAACAAACATGTATTAAAAATCCCACTTTACGCTGTTTATAATGTTGTTTCCTCATTAAAAACACAAATCCTGCATATTTAGGCTGAGTTCTGTTCCACCTTGTGATGTCATGTGGTAATACAGGAAGTGCTCCACAGTGTTTTTAAACAGGGATGGATGTCTCCTTTAAACTTATGCACAACATTTACCCTGCAAACAAATTTATGCTAAAATATATTAAAACAATCGATCCTAACTGCATTTTTTGTAAAGAATATCCTGAAACAATAAATCATCTTTTTTGGAAATGCACTATTACTAAAACCTTTTGGAAATTTATCAAAGATCATATTGACCCTAACTTTTCATTAAAATTTGAACATATTATTTTTGGTGTACATGAAAAGAATTTAGACCCAAATAAAAAAAAAGGCAATTAATTGAATTACTGTATTTGGCAAATTTTATATTCACAAATGTAAATTCTCTCATACTTCTTTATTTTTTTCCTGTTTTAAGAAAGCAATTAGAATTATACCTATCTTCTATCTCTAAAAGTGTAAACAAAAAAGCTGTATTGAATATGAAAGTTGTATATCCATGAATATTTTTGTATAATGTAACAGTGGCATTGATTAAGCTTTTCTTCCATGTATAACTCCCCCTGGCATTCTATTTGTTATGTTGTCATTTAATAAATACATTTTTTCACAGTTTTTAAACTTTATACACCTTCACTAGAATCATTTGGACGATTTCAACCTTGGAATTTTCAATCTCTAGTAAGCAGAAGGTAAAGATAGCTGTTAACTTGAAAACTACCGCTTCATGACATCACAAGGTGGAACAGAGCATTTTGAGCTTTGGAGATGTAGACAGAATAATAATAAAGGATTACGCAAACATGTGTGAATGAAAAGAAACACAACTCTGGGTATGTTTTTGAGGAATTAACAACATTCTAATATGATTTAAGTATATTTTTCGCAATACAGTACCTTTAAATATGGACAATAATGTATATAATTGTATGATTTTTACTGTAATCAAGCAGGCAGCACACCAAAACTAATTATTATTCACCACACCCACTCTTGTTAAAGGAACATTTTATAGCAGCCTATGCATAATGACGAAATGCATTAGACACAAAAATAGTTTACTGCTGGCAGCTGCTAATAAAAAGGCTTTGTAAGAAGTCGAGTTAGACTATATTATAATTTTGCCTGCATCTCATAGTAGCCACTAGCCTTAGTTTTTACGACTTAATTTCCAAAAACGTAGACAAGCCTAAGAAAAAAAAGCACCTTCTATTGTGAAAATGTAAAAACAATGTCAAAATCTGTGATGTAACATAATGGTTGTCTCTGGATCTGATTTTTAACAGAACAGCTCTTTTTCTTTCCAGTTTATATGCATTTTTTACACTGATTAATACCGAACCAACACGAGAATCAGCACAGAAGCAGAGCAGGCGACACCAGGGAGAGCTTTGTGCACAAAAAAAAAAACATATCTGGCATCATAATAACAACAGAAAAAATAAAAACTAACAATAATAATTAGGCTATTATTATTGTCGTGCAACATTTAATTAAGGATTCAAAGGGTAAACACTCTTCCACTCTCAGTTTGAACCATGATAAACTGATCTGAGCCTTGCCAGTAGATCAAATGAGTTCTCACACTGGCTCCTGTCATATAATCAATTATAAAAAAAGAGCCAGTCAGTGAACGGCTCTTGATCAAAAAGATTCGGATCCCAACTGAAGGAGCCGAAAGTCCCACCACAAAAAAAAAAAAAAAAAAAAAAAAAAAAACACTAGGCACGCATGCTATATATCATCTTAATAGCCAATTAACATTTGTCTACTTTATTTATTAGCATTTTATTTCCCGGGTTTAGGTCTCGTGCATTCCGTGCGCGTGCCCTCTCTCGTAAAACAAACAAGACCCAGCTAAACATGCGCACGATTCACGCTAAAACTACCACTAAAACATCACGTAAAGCGGTAAGTCCACACGCAATTGGAGAAATATCAGCACAAATTTTGCATAACGTGACTAATTCCCTGTTTTTGTTGCACAGCGAACTTATTTTCAGCTAATTTATGGTCCACCTAGCTGCTACTTGCGGAGACCGTCGCATACACATTAGCATAGTTCGGCATACACACGCTCACGGAGGAATACGGGGGGCTTTAACTTTTCTTTATCTAGTGCAACTCGCCAACTGCACCGTCCCACGCCCCTGGACCACCACGTACCGCATCCCGGACCTTTCCTCTGCCCGCACACCCGGACACCGCTGCCAATTCCTGCAGAGGAGGAGGACGCGCGGAGCAGCGGACTGGCCGATTCATTAGAGGCGAACACGGGGACCAGCCGAGGTGAACGAGGGGGGTAAAAGCTTAAACCTATCCCCTCCAAAAACGTGCATGTTTCGAGGTAAGATATGCAGCGTGCAAGAATGATCCCACCACGTGAGTACCGCGTTGTGATCTGTAACATCGCGTGCGCGCCAATTAACCACGTAAACAATGCGTTTTCAGATAAAGGAATCCGGTGTGCCTACCTTCGTGTCTCCATCCCACTCAGACTTGTGGTCCTGATGATACGGTACTGCCTGCTCCAGCATCCCGAAGCACTGTTATTCGACTGGAGGGGGGCAGCGCGATGGTTGGGTTACTGCAGTGACGTAGAGGGAGTCGACCAATCGCTGCGTAATCCGACGCACACTTTGCCAATCCGCTCAAAGGGGGAAAGTGAGCACTGCACAAAGGCTGTATTAGCAAGGTAGATTGACGTTGTGAGAGAATTTATGGCCAAGTCCAACACTAGTGATTTATGAAAAAAAATAAATAAAATAAAACGTACTCGTGCTCATTAGGAAACATGGGGTTATCATCACAGAAAAATATGCAAATAAGCCAATTAAAACGATTACAGATAGATAGAGAAGATATTTATTTATTTACTTATTTATTTTGTTATGTATTTGTTAATTTTGCAAGCTCAAATGCTAAAAGGGTAGTGTATTTTTTCGAGATGAGCTCAGCTGTTTTCTCCTATTTCATTATGTGGTTACACCAATGCTGCATTGCTTTTTATAGGGGTTTAATTTCAACAGTAAAAATCCTGGAGGTCCAAACTGAGGAGTAATCAGAGGACACAAGCAACCGACCGCATTTGGTAAGTACAAACTGTTACTAAAAACATCTTTACAACTTGTTCCACCCAGAGCTCTTAATATCCTTGAAGTACTCCTCTTGTGCACTGTGGTTTTAGCTTTAAATCCTCTCAAGGGGGGGGATAACTTCAGAAGATTACACTGACTTTATGTAAGAGATACTATACGCTGAGCTGACCAATCTGTTGCCAAATTCTTGAATGTTTGCCTTTTTTAATATTAGAAGATTCTTGAAAATATAGACCAGTTAAGATTTTCTTTTAGCTTCAAGTGTTATAATTCAGCACAAATTTTCAAACACTGTCGTCTACAATGCAGTATGATATCTCATATCGAAAACACCACTCAAACTCTTTTCATACATTTTATTGCCCTTAGATCAGCAATATGTGAACCAGCCTGACAGTATCACAGAATCAGGAACTTTCTTGTACAAACGGTCTAGTCTAAAAAATACATTTTTTCATTTAAAAAGTTGTTGTTCAATATAGGAAACAAATGTCCAAAACAAACAAAATTACCAATTTATCACTTAAACTATATACTTTCAATATTATATATAATATAATTCCCAAGATCCTTTTAGAAGCCTGCACACCAGGTGCTAAAAAAGAAAATAAAAGATTAAGCCCTGACAAAATAATACAACTGCACAGTCCCCAGACTGGCCTTATTTCTATAAAATGAAATAACTATGGTTTTATTTGTATAAAGGTGAACAAATGCAGAAATGGGGAATAATAGGATTGTGAATTCTAAAAACTCTTCAAGTAAATCTTATTCCACCTACTGTGAACTGCAGCTTCATTTGCTTTGAGCAGGAATAGGAAGCGTATTATAAATGAGTTATGACTGAAGAACAAATCATATACAACTAGGACTGGTATTTGTGGATAGATTGTTTTTTTACAGCCAACTTTTTTACAACTTTTCATGCGTCCATTTTGTACTACTTACTATTCAACCTGCTTCTCACTCCCACACCATTTACAAGTATATACAAAGTTCCTTCCATATCTTCACAACTTTCCCATCTGTGTTGCCTTTCAACTCACTTGACCATAAACCATCATCGAATCACCGTACTTTACACTTCATATTTGCATCTTTTGTTTTGCCATTGGGTTTATCTGACTATAAAAAACTTCACAGGACACTTCTAGGAACAGCTTTTCTGTGTTGCAGTGTGGGTGACTCTGGGGCATTGTCTGGTGGGGGCCACTGTGGTTTAGTTAACTGAATATCATCCTCTATTTTAAAAGATTTCTTTGGGTGCTCTGCCTGAGGGGGCCAGACAACAGATATTTTACTACCCTGTGGCTTGTTTTGATCTAGATTTTCATAACTGCGTGTTTTGTATTTGTCTACTGAACTTAGGCTGCTTGTTGAATATCTCCATTCATCCGAGGGGATAGGTCCACCAGAAGATTGCTGTACAAGTCCATTGTCGTAATTCCCTTTGGATTTCAGAAGTTGCTTGTAATGATGTAAACAGTAGAAGTGTCCGTGGAGTGATACATAATTTCCCACACTAAAAAAGAAAAAAAAACAACATTTCAACAATTCAGCTGTGGTAGGTCTATGTCTTAAAGTCCCATACTATGCAAAATTGAGTTTTAAGATGCTTTTACCTCATCAAAAACATATCTGGAGTTGTGTTTTGTTTCATTCACACATTTGAGTAACTCTATTATAAGTCTGTCTACTACACTAAAGCTCAAAATGCTCTGTTCCAAATTGTGATGTCATGAAGTGGTAGTTTCCAAGCTACATTTTCCCTTTTGTTCAGTAATAATTGGAAATACTGAGGCTGAAATTATCCAAATGATTCTAGAAAAGGTGCATGAAGTATTACGGTGGAGCATTTCCTGTATTATCATATAACATGACAAGGAGGAACAGTGTTTTCTGTTTGACAGAAGAACACGGGATTTGATTTGTGTGTTAAACATGTGTGAATGAAACAAAACACATCTTCAGGTATGTTTGTGCTGAGGAAACATTATGACATAGATCAGAAAATAGTGTAACATCAGCCCAAAATTACCTCAGTCTATTCCTACAGTGCTCGCAGCGGAAACAGGATTTATGGTACTTTTTTTTGTCTACTATCAGGGCGTCCATCGGATAAGCTCTCCTCCGGCAAACCGTGCAAAGCTCTGACTTCGGAACTCGAGTCTGTGAAAAAAAAAAACACTTTAATTATAAGTCTTCTATTTATCATTCCCTGCTTCCACACATGATGCAGACACAAATAGTCATAATTCATAGATATAATGAAAAGTATTATGTAAATTATACTTGCAAATCACACATATTATGGCACAAAACTGTTAAAAGTGAATTGCGCAACTTTTCTGGTGGCTGGAGGGTCCATCACCTGCTTGTCTTCGTGGAGATTACTTTGTCTAGAATGTTCCATGGTAGAGATTAAATCGATCTTTATCAAGGGAGACAACTATAGGCTACATGACAGGTCAGATCTGTGGAGAGGCATTATTGTATTGTGTATTTTGAGCAATAGAAACACATAATGAATGAATGCTAGATAGATGTGATTAATGCCATATACCACGGAACATTCCAGGCATTTCCATAGACACGAAAAGCTGCGCAGTGCACCTTTAATGTTGTTTGATTTGAAAGATGCACCACAATTGTTTGAAAACCATAAAGTCAGAGCTTTCTCCCATGCATTTCTGAGTTGTGATTTTTGACACAGTTTATCAATGAATCATTCGGCTGTATTTAATCATGGTTACTCTCACACATAGCATATCACAACTTATGCATTAGGATAAATATTTTAATTATGACTTAATATAAATTATGACTTGCAGGTCACACATATTATGGCACAAAATTGTTATGTTATTTAATTTCAAAGATGAATAACAGTTGTTTGAAAACCAAAAAGTGCACTTTAAAACTGTCTCCCATGCGTGTGATTTTTGTCACATGTGGAATTAACTGTATTTCACTTAATGGTGGTTATGCTCACACATACCATATCACAACATATGCTTTAAAATAATATCCATACATAAACTAGGTCATTAATTCATGTACATGCCAGTCCGACACATGCTTCTCATTTACCAGTATGTTCCGACAGAACTTGTGAGCTCTCAGAAGAAACGGTGTAGCCAAGGCTCTTGAAAACTGTCTCACTCTCCGTCCATGTTTTGTGGAAATTTCTCAGCAGTTTCTCAGTGGCCTCTTCATCATAGGTTTCTGTCCGCTTTGCTGTCTTTCGTTTAACTGCGTCAGCATAGGAGAAAGGCACCTGCTGGGAGCTCTGGGAGTGCTGGGTCACAGCTGTCATTGTTCCAGTGACCTTGTTGCCAAATTCATCGACATTTGAGAAATTTTCTGTAAATGTTTTGGTTTCCGTAAATCCTGATGGCTCAGCTGTGACAGTTTCCACTTGATTTTTCCGAAGAGGTAGGGGGCTGCTGTGTAGGGAGGCTGGCTTTTTCTCCTGAAGACTTTCCCACTTTGAAGTGTCTGCTGTTTCCGTCAGCCTTGACACAGACTCCTCCTGATCCCTTTTCTCATCTTTGAATAAGAAACTTTGCTCACCCAGTTCAAAAACATTTTTAATAGCCTGAATGTCAAAATTTGGCATTTCCTGTTCTGCCTTGTTTTTGTCAGTGTTATCAGCATCATTGTGAAGCCGCTCAGCAAGAGGAATAGGCTCTTTTTTATCTACATATGTTTTCTCATCCTGGGATTCAAATTTGTTTACAAGACTTGAAAGGTCCGCCTGGGGAAGCTCAATTTGTTCTTTTTCTTTCACCTCGTCCACACACTCCTCCTCCATGTCAGGCCCTAAACGCTCAGGAATAGAAATTGGCTCTTTACGGACATAGGTTTTATTCATTTCTGCCTTTTGAGCCTCTTCAAAAAACTCCATCTTTTCTCTAACAGATGCAAAGGTCAGCTCAGAGATCTCCTCATCTTCTGGGTCAGGAAGGTGAGAGTCAGCTGCACCACGGATATCACTCAAAAGCATTTCCTCTATTTGTTTTGTTAAATCCTTTTCCTCAGTTGTAAAAGATTTTGTTTCCATTGCCTGACTCTCAATTTTGATTTGCCGATGAAAAGATGCAGGGGATTCTACTATCTCAGATTTCTTTTCTGTTATCTGGGATGTTAATATTGGTGGCGGAGTTACACCACGTGAGAGCTTGGCTGTTGTGTCTTTTAGTCTGGCGAGATTTTCCGCTCTATCAAAGGTAGGAGAAGGTGTGATTCTTGTCAGGCGGGATGGAGTGTCAGACCTGCGTGGTGGCGGTGTTGGAGGTGTGAGTGGCCTGTGCATTGGAGTAGGAGAGGGAGTGACTCTCTGTGGAGACGCAGTTCTTCGTGTTGATTCTATGGTGATAAATGTCGGTGATGGAGGCCGCATCCTCAGTGATGGCGAGGGTGCTCTCAGGTCCACAGATTTACTTTGACTGACTTCCTCTTTTCTTTTCTCAGTCCTGGTTATTTGAGATTCAACTTTAGAGGAGCCTATACTAATTTTAGATATTCTCTGTGATCCTCCACTTGAGGCAAGCTTTTCAGAGACCAGCTCACATTCATGCTTTTCCATTGCCTCATTATCATCCAGTTTCATAAGATAACTCTCCACGATTATTTTGACATGAGAAAGTAAATCTGTACCATCACCTTTATTCACAGTTTGCTCCAGCTCTGATTTTCTGTCGGCGCTGATGAGCCAATCAGGGACTGTAGCGAGGAAAGTTTTCACAGATTTGATGTTCCACTTTTCATTCTGCAGTTCTGTGATATGAGACATTAACATTTGAACCTGCTCCTGCTGTGATTTCACCACTCCCGATGCAGACTTCAGCACTTCATTTTGTTCAGCCGTGTCTGTGATAATAATCGGGACAACACTACTCACTTCTGGAGATTCCTTTGTGCTCCATTCCAAAGCTGGCATTTCTTGTTTCTTCTCAGGCTCTTTAACCTGACTTTGGATTAATTTTTGCTCTTGTGATTTTTTAATTTCTTTCTTTACCATGGTTGATACATTTTCTTTTACTTCAATCTTCTGTTCTTGTACACTTGTGTGAACCTGAGAAATGCTTATACTTTCCTGAAATTGTGTAGATTTTTTGTTTTCTGCAGCTTCTACTTTTGATTCAATACAAACTTCTTTGGATTGAACTGTGGGCACTGCACCTCTGGACTTTTTGGACTTCTTTTTCTTCCTTGTTGGAGTTGGAGTTTCCGAAGGAGAGGTTACAGAGGCAGTATTGCTAGAGGCTGCAACCGGGGCCGTATTAACTTTATTCTCCTCCAACTTTTGTTGAGATTCACTGGCGACTTTTACCTCAACCTTTTTCACTGCCATGCTGCTCTCATCATGAGAGACATTCTGTTTGTTATTCTCTTTTGTATCCATTTGTTTTTCTTGCTTGATGGGCTTTTTGACCTTTTGTTGACTTTTGCCTGATTTACCATTTGTATTATCTGTTTGTGGTGGTTGATCCTTCTCTTGGTTTTTAGTTGGAGATTTATCATTCTTCTTCTTCTTGTCAAGTTGAGGGGAGGAGATTCCTTTTTGAGTTTTATCTGAAATATCTTTTTTAGTGTTCTTACTCTGAGGTGTGTCTGTTATTTCAGGCTCTGTTTTACCAGCTATCTGTTTAACAGCAGTTTGTGACTGATAAGAATTAACATTCTGCATGGTGGCAATACTCTCAGTTTTAACCGATTCTTTCTGAGATGTGACCTTTGTTTTTTGGCTAGTATCCATCTTCCCTTCTGTAATTTGCTTCTGTTTGGTATCAGCTCTGACAGCCTGAGTTGAAGAAATAGAAACTGCTTTCTGTGTTGATGTGGTGTGTGTCTGTTGCTTAACAACAGAAACAGATGAGGTCTTCTGAACAGACACAACTTTCGAACTCTCGTTAGATACACTTTGTTGTTTTGCAGAAGACATAATTATATTTGTTACATTTTTCTCATTACCAGCAGTGCTTTTTGTATCTGCAATGACTACCTGCTTTGATTCTTGAGATCTTTCATTGCTCTCCTTTGTAATATTTGATGCATTTTTCCTAACCACCTCTGCATCAGTTGTACAAATTGACTCAGTAGCAGCTGTTATTAAATCGGGAGTGTAGCATAGAGGAGGAGTTGGCGTTGTTGGAGGTGTACTTTCCTCACGTAGTCGGCGAAATTTCTCTTCAGCTTGAATTAGCGGTGTGCTAAATTTACTCATCTTACCTCTCATGAAAGGTGGAGGGGACGGCGGTGGTGTGAATTTAACAGGAATAATAACTTTCTTTAATGGCTGTGGAGATTCTGACAGTGGAGGGATTTCAGTGCGAATTGTTTTTGTTGTTGTTGTTGTTGTTGTTTGGCTTGTCTCAACAGCTTTTCCTGAAGTCACTGTCACCTGTTGTGTTTTGTTAACTTCAACTTTAGGTTCAAGTTTTGGAACGGGGTGGACAGTAGGGCCTTTAACCTTTTTCACTGTCATCTTCTTGGCTTTTCCTGGGGAAGGTGGTGCTGGCATGCTCTCCAGTTCCTGTTGAGACGGAGGAGGTGGGAGGAAGTCTTGTTCGCAGGGAAGTGGGGGTGGAGGAGGAGGCAGGTGATCAACGTCAGACTCGACAGCCGGTGGAGGAGGAGGTGGAGGTGGAAGGATGTCAGCATCAGCCACAGGTGGGGGTGGTGGGGGAAGGGGCAGATCAGGCTCGGGTGTTTTTGATTGCAAGATGTACACGTCAGTTTTTACCCTGGTTTTATCCAATTTGATCATACCCTTGGAGGTAGAATTCAAATTTCGGAACTCTGTCTTGACTGTTTTAATGCCGTGATTTTGCTGTATAGTTTTATGTTCAACCGACATTGATTTTGTTGTTTGACTTGTGTTAGCAGTTTTGATCTTTTGCACATTTCTCTGTGCGTCAGTGTTGAGATTTTTAACAGGAGGGCCCTGCTTTACTCGTGCTCTTCTGTATTGCACTTTAGGAGTTTCGCGCTGGGCATTTTCCATCAATGACTTTATTGTGCCTTTGACGTCACCTTTTAATACCTCTTCCTTTTCCATCTGGTTCTGCTCCTCCTGTGACTCATATAGTGACTTAATAGACATTTTAACATCTCCCTTCAGTTCTTCCTCAATGCTTGCCCTCCTCTGTGTTCTTGGAGAACTTGGGGCCTCCATAAAAAGTTGAATTGTTCCCCTCACATCTCCCTGCACGTCAATTTCTTGTTGGCAAACCCTCTTTTCGGAAGACGCATCTTGTAGACTTTGCATAGCCATGTGAATGTCACCTCTTACTATTTCCTCCTTCTCAACTTCCTTTACCACTTGTTTTGCCCGCTCGAGAGACTTTAGAGTGGCCTTGACATCACCAGGAACCAAATCATCAACAGCAGGTTCAACTTTGCTGGTTGTGGACCTCTCCAGGGATCTTAGAGCTCCTCTAATGTTACCTGGAACAATGTCTGGCTTCTCCACTTCTTTTTTCTGCTTCTGAGCCTTTTCGAGACAGCGCAGAGCTTTAGGTATGTTGCCTTTCACTACTTCCTCTTTCTCCACAACAGCAGTTTGATTTGCTGACACTGACAATGAATTCAAAGCAGCTCTTAAATCACCTTTAACTATTTCTTCTTTTTGTAGTTTTTCTAATGAGAAGCTTGGTTCTGACATGAAAACTTTTACTGTGTTGTGAACATCTCCAGGAATAACATCCTCCACGGTCCGTTCAATATTCACATGGCTTTGATTGAGGATACGCTTTGTTCCCTTTATATCGCCTCCAATAATCTGCTCTTTCTCCGCTTTGTCAGAGGAATTCTCTTCAGGGCTTGAATGCAGCTGTTTAAGGTAGTCAAGAGCCCCAGACTCAATGCATGTGGAGTAAAAGTTGACATTTCCCTTCTCAATGTCGTCTACCTTTATCTTGACAGACTCATCTAGGCCGTCTGGGTTGGTCAGTCTTTGGAGAGCACTTCTTATATCCCCTCTAACAATATCCTCTTTCTCAACAGAGGCAGAGTCCTGTTTATTCAATAGGGAGTATAATGTCATTTGTACATCTCCCTTTTCATCTTCCTGGATTAGTATTCCGTGCTTTGCTGACCCACCCTCTTGGAAAAGGTTGTTTATTGCTTCTTGAATGTCACCGCGTAGGATTTCCTCTTTTTCTACATTAGTCTGCTTCTCTTGACTGAATAATTGTTGCACAGTTGAACTAATATTCCCCATCTCCTGTGAGTCTATCACCACTTGCCGCTCACTTGTTTGTTGTCGATTCAACAGGTTCATCATGATTGTTTGCAAATCTCCCCTGATGATGTCTTCACGTTGAATTTCAGGAGCCTGTTGATTCATGAGCTGGTACTTAGCCATCCTAACATCACCTATTTCGTCTGCTTCAATCAGTATTCCTTTGGATCTAACCATTTTTTGACTATAAAGTTCAGCAAGAGTTCCTTTAATGCTTTTGCCCATTATTTCAGTCTTCTCCACTTTTGACTCATTAAAGTCATCAAATGGTGTAGTTTCAAAGAGCCATGTTGTAGTTCTTACATCAGCTTTGGGGATTTCTTCATGAATAATGGTGGTTTCAGTAGTTTCATCAACTTCTTTAATATGATCAAGAGGGTTTTTCTCAAAGAGCCACACAGATTGCTTAACATCTCCCTTGGCGACATCCTCCTTTTTTACAGTTTCAATGAGATTTTCCTCACTCATACTTTTTATTCTATCAATGGATTGGGTTTCAAATCTCCATTTTGCTGTTCTCACATCACCTTTCTGTATTTCACTGACATTAACTGTTTTGACAGATGCCTCTGATGAGTTGTCAGACTCGAACCGATGTTTATTCATTCTTACATTTCCACCTTGAATATCCTCCACAGTTCTTAGTAAAGCTTTCCTTTCTTCACTGATTCTATCAAGAGGCTGTGTTTCAAATTTCCACTTGGCAGATGTGACATCTCCTTTCTGAACATCTTGTTGTGTGACAGACTTTATTATATACACTTCATCTGTATCTTTTATGGCATCTAAGGGTTTTGTTTCAAATAACCACCTGGTTCCAACCACATCTCCACTTTTAACTTCTTCACTTGTAACTGTGGTAACCTCATGGTAATGACCTTCTTTGTCCTTGATGGCATAAAGAGGCTGAGTTTCAAACATCATGGTATAGTTTCTCACATCACCCTTTTCTTCTTCATCACAGACAATTCTTTTCTTTTTAATTTCTTCAGTCTCATCTGAAACTTCATGAATTTTATCTAAGGAGCAAGTTTCAAAAATAAAGCGACCCTGATTAACGTTGCCTCCTTGTATATCATAAACTGTGCGATTACTAATGTGCTCCTCTTCATTGTCATGTATCATATCTATTGATTGGTTTTCGAAAAGCCACCTGCAATTCACCACATTTCCTTTTTGGATGTCCTCTGTCTGAACCCTCTTCAGCTTTTGTCTGGCTTCTTCCGAGGTAGAGGTCATTATCTCAGATGTTTGGTTTTCAAATATGTATTTCATCCTGGACACATCCCCTGATGAAATGTCAATCTCCGTGATACGTTTAAAGGAGTCAGCCTCCTCACCTGTTAGGTTTTCAAGATTCTCTGTCTCAAACAGAAAACAGGCTGTTCTAACATCTTTCCCTGTAATTTCCTCCTGGTCCACAGTGCGTGTTTTCATAATTGTCTCTGTCTCGTCATGTATAGTATCAAGTGCTTGAGTCTCAAAAAGCCATGTGCATGTTTTTACATCTCCTCTTGGCACAGTTTCACTTTCATCTTTTTGGTCTGCTCTCTCATACAGGATATCCATGGGCTTTGTCTCAAACAACCACTTGCATGTCTTCACATCCCCTTTCATGACATCAGTATTTTGTGTGGATACAACTGTCTCTTCATCCTCGATATTACTGAAGTATTTGATTGCATCCAGTGGCTGTGTTTCAAATAGCCATTTAGCAGTTTTAACATCGCCGGACTCAATTTCTTGTTTGGAAATGCCCTTGATAATTTGGTATGTACTGATATTTTCATCAAACTGATCTATTGGGCGGGTTTCAAACATCCATTTGCAAGTTGTTACATCTCCTTTAACAACTTCTTCTCGTCGCACTGTTTTTACCTCGTGAAAGTGTCCTGAGCTGTCTTGCATGGCATAAAGAGGAGTTGACTCAAATAACGTTTTATTTGATTTCACTGATCCAGATTTTACCCCTTCAATTAATATCCTCTGTGATTCATCAATTCTTTGGTTTATTTCAGTGCTTTCAAAAATGTTTTTGTAGTTTGAAACATCAACTTTATCAATTTCCTCCATGTCAATTGTACGAATGACCTCCTTCTTTTCCTCTCTGATTTGTTCCAGCGGTTGGCTTTCAAACCTCCATTTCTGATGGCGCACATCACCTTTTTCTTCCTCAAGAGGCACAGATTTTTTCAGTTTTCCGACCTCAGCAAGTTCTTTCATCTCCTCTGCTGGACCAGTTTCAAAATAATGTCTTGCCGATTTCACATTACCTGCAATAATTTCCTCTTTTGTTAAGGGGCGACTATTTGAATCATCCTTTAAACGATCCATTGGCTGCGTCTCAAAAACCCAACAGTTTTTGCGTACATCGGCCCTGAAGCTCGTTCCATCTTCCTGTGTCAGGTCATCCTCAATATTTACAGTGCGAATGACCTCTTTCTTGGCCTCTCCTATGTGCTCTAATGGCTGACTCTCAAATCGCCACTTTTGGTGTCTGACATCCCCCTTTTCTTCCTCATTCAGTGTTCGCTTTTTCAGTTTTCCCACCTCTGGACAATTTTTTCTGGCTACTTGTGGACTGCTTTCGAAAAAGTTTCTTGCAGATTTGACATTACCACCAATAATATCTTCAATTGTCTGGGGCTTAGCATTGGAGTCATCCTTCAAAGTATCCATTGGCTGTGTTTCAAAAACCATGCAATGCTTCCGCACATCCGCTCCAATTATTTCTTTCTTCTCTACTTTTGAACTTTCCCAGTCAGTGAGAGAGCTGAGCGTTTTTATTTCAAATAGCCACCTTCCCCAGTCGCCCTTATTGCTATCCTCCATTGAGAGACTGCACACGAGCTTGAAAGTAGAGCATTCTGTTTTGGTCAGGTCCAGTGGCTGGGTGTCAAAAAGCCAACGTGAGGCAATAGAGTTTTCCATTTCTGTCTCAATTTTGCGGACAGATTTGACTTCTAAAATCTCACTGGCTTGTCCCATGATGACACACTTGAACTGAGTGTCAAACGTGCTCGTGATGGTTTTCATGTCTCCGTTGATTTCTTCCAGTACTGACCTTAATATGAGCAAGTGGCTCTCATCAATTGTCTCAGTGTGCCCTAAGGTATGCATGTACTTGTTATCAATCATGTTAATGGTGGAATCTCCGTCCTCCTCTGTGAATACAATTTCTTTTGTTAAATCCTCTTCCTTTCGCCTCTTGTTTAGGCTGTCCATGGTCTCTGTTTCAAATAGCCATGCTGCTGCTCGCACATCTCCTTTCTCCAATTTATTGACTTTATTTTTATATTCAGATTTATCCGTGGGCTTTTTCTCAAACATCCAAGCAGTGCGTCTGACATCTTTTCCGAGAATGACTTCCTGCTGACTTATCTTTCTGTTGTCCTCATCCTCATCTGGAGATTCATCCTTGATGGTGTCCAGAGGTTTATTTTCAAACATCCAGCGCATTGACTGTACATCCCCTGGCAGAATCTCTTCCCATTCACCCTCTTCATCTTGGTTAATTTCCTCAAGATCGTCTTCATAGGAGAACTCTTGGTTCTGTACCTGAACAGTTTCACTTTCACTGTAGTCAGTAAAGAGCTCCTTCTCAATGTTTTTCCTAACCTCGGGATGAATGTGCTTGTACAGGCGTTTGAGCTCAGTCTTGCTCCTCTGTTTGAAGTACGCCTCTCTGCTGAGGGGGCACTTGGAGGGTTGTGCTGGTTCTTCGGCCTCTGGAGCATAATGACATACTGGCATATCATGATTCTCTGGTGGCATTTGCAATAAGTCCGGAGGTGGGGGTGGAAGGTAGTCAGAGTCATCAGCTGGTGGGGGCGGGAAATCATCATAATCCATCACCGCTGCCACTCCAGTGTTCTCCAGCGCAGCAGCCGCAGTCGTAGATTCATACACTCCACTGGACATTGTGCTGTTTTGTGTCATGTTTGAAGCCCACTTAGAACGATTGATGTCACGGGTAATCTTTTGAAGGACAAAAAATACATATTTCTAGATGAATTTTGTATAGATTCAACATTTCATCTCAATAATGCAATATACTTTATATCTTCAAGGTCTTATATTACACAGAGTTGACTTTTGTTAGCTTAAACCATGTTATAATGTTATTACCTCATCAAGAAACATACCTGAAATTGTGTTTTGTTTCATTCACACATGTTTGGGTAGTCCTTAATTATTAGTCTGTTGACATCTCCAAATCCCAAAATGCTCTGTTCCACCTTGTGGTGTCATGAAGTAGTAGTTTTGAAGTTACCTTTTATCTTTTGTTCGGTAGAGACAGGCAACTCCAGGGCTGAAATTATCCAAATGCTTTTATGGTGTATGGAGTTTAAAAACACAGTGGAGCATTTTTTGTATTACCACATGACATCACAAGGTGGAACAGAGTGCTGGAGAGAAGAACTCAGACTAAATATGCAGGATTTGTGTGTTAAACGTGTGAATGAAACAAAACACAACTCCAGGTATGTTTTTGATGAGTACAACAGCATAATACCATAGATCAGAAAATAACATAATGTGGACCCTTTAAATGCTCAATTTACAATTAAATTTTAAAAATTGTATGTGTGAATGGATGTGTTTATAATTTACCTTTACTGGTTTGTGAGGCGCGGCCTCCTCTATTGTTTTCTCAAAGTGATCTCTCAGCTCTTTAGTTGTGTATCTTGGAAACTCCTCATCTACATTTTAACAAGGACAGTTAAGCAAATGACAGCATGTCAACGGTTGTACTAAATATAGATTTAATTACTTACCTGTCTCATTTTCGTGATTTTCATAATTGGAGGCCAAGGCACTGCCGCTGTAAGAGACCTATATTTAGAGATATAGACAAAAAGATAAGATTTAGCTCATTAATACAGTTTTGAGGTTGGTAATACAATAAGACAGACAGAATGAGAGAGTACCATAGTTTCGTGGTTGTGATTTAGCTGACTGCCTGGGAGGACCTGCCTGCTGCCTGACACCGTCACTTCAGAGTTAGACATTTCCTGTGATGAGGCAGACAGTAGGTTTCAAACACAGTTCACAAATATGCAAGCTACACACACACACTCTTGCAAATCCAGACTGATTAGACCAATTGTTCCACTATAGCTCTGCCAAACCATAGTCTGATATGAGTTTACTCCAGTTAATTATTCCTTCTAGAAGCTAAATTCCCAACAAAATCACATGCAGAGAAGATGCAAGACCACATTCCTTAGCACAGTTTAGAATTAGAAATCACAGATGGAGCAAGAAGGATCAAAACAATTTCAAGCTGTTCTCATTTCTGTTACGGAGCAAACTGTAAATCTTTAAATCTTTGTTTCCAATGAAAAACGCAACAAGTTTTTTCTCATCACAATGATGCTGGCAAGTTTAAAACACATGTTGCACAAGATGCAGCAGACATATTTTACAAATTCTGCAAATTCTCAAAAACCCAAGTGCAATATATATAATACCTGAACTGTTCTGTGCTGAAAATGAAACTGGGTAACACTGTGTGATGATGCAATTTCTTGAGTTTCAAATTGTCTCCTCACACTGGCTATTCCCCCAGGCAGGGAACAGACCTCTGATTCCTCCATGACCTAATGAAGCAGGAAATATCATTAGCGGCCACCACTTCTTCATAACCTGGAATCTAAGTGATGCTTTAAAGGGCTCCTCTGTTTAGTTGGTATGAGGCACATGCACCTTTTAAATGTGTCTATCTAATGCCACAGTATATGCACTTTATGTCCTTTTTACAGCACATAAAAAACATTAAATGAGGCTTTTAAAATAATAGGCCTCGTCATTACCCTCTATACCATTTCGTTTGAAGTACAGTATGTCTTATATGTTTTTCTATTTTTACATGCACACTATATGTACCCCAGCCTTCTGAGTGTCATTTGTCAAACTTGCAAAGCTGTCAACCCCTCAGCTCATACAACATACACAGTGCAACAATGGAGGCACCGGCAGCACCAGCTCAAGAGACTTTGTACAGACAATTTATGAGAGCAATTATGGCTGTAGCATTTTAGAGGTTTTGGACACTTTTCACACTAACTCTTGGCACGTGCAGTTTGAGCGCAGTTGCTTTGACACTACAAGACAATTAATGTCTACAGCCTGCCAAAGCCCATTAGACCCCCACACAGTTTTGGGTACTAGTTGAAAGCAGCTTCTCTATTTTTCAGCAGCGTAACAATTTATATGTGCATAAGCGTACAATTATATATCTATCCACTATCTCAGAATAAGCATTTTAACTACAGGAGCTGCAGTAGCAGTCAGAGCCATGCTCAGTACCCCGCTGGAGTTGTCTGCCCGCTTGGAGACAGCTGCTTGGTACATGGCCACACAGTTGGTCAGTGGGACGATCTTTGAGTTTTCAGAGTGAATCCGGTTCCTCTGGTTACGTTTCTTTCGTTTTTTGCCTTGGTGAGACTTTTGCTGCCAGCAGCTATGTGACATACACAGTGAAAGTATGACTCATACACTTGTATTGATGAGCAGCATTGTTCTACAAGACTACCAGATTGAACTGTTCCCATAGTGGTTTTGTACTGTATAAGGTAGACAGGCTGTCAGCATAGCTGCTTCAGCTGTACAGTAAATATATTTGAAGAGGATCAGTACATTTGTGTCTGTTTCAGAATGCTGCTATATTTGGCAGTCGGTGCAGTCAGTGGTTTACAGTTTTCATGACATGTACACTATGTGAATCTGCCATTGCTGTCATCAAGGCTCAACAGAAAATAATTATAGGCCTCTTTGTAAATGGTTTAGCAACTGTGGCACCGTGTGTATTTTATTGATTCACTGTCTGTAATCAACTTTGTCTAATGAAAAAATAATCAAATATATTAATAATATATTAAAAGTAGTCACTCAAGTGCACAATAACAGAGAGATGTTGTATCTTTATGTGCTCCCTCGTTTCCACAGTTTAGTTTAAAGTGACTTGAAGCTTTGGCTTTTTCCTGACGTTCACTGTGGGAAGTGCTTCCCCCTGTTGATTCTAAGAAGGTATGGCAGGCTCTACAAACTACACCCTTTCCAGGCTAGTTTTCTGTGTTTAGCATTTTTGTAATTTGTTTCAAAACAATAATGATAATGATAGCAATAATAATGTAAAAAAGACACTGTAAAAACCTTTGAGTAAAATGCTGTATCCAGCCTGTTGATGATTTAATATTATTAATCCTTTATTTATACAGGTCTGCCTCTTGAGACTTAATGTCAGTGTCAAGACCTGTTGAATAATTTACATTTACACAATAACACAGTAACATTAACATTAAATTACAATTTATACAAATTCAACTTAAAAACCTCTTGGTAGAAATGATGTATTATTCAATGTTGACTCAAATGCTGAAGGAAAGAACTAGACTGATGAATGAAGCAAATAGCCATGTATTATTAAAGAGATTCTAACATATTTTATCATCTGTCGGTCTCTCATAAAAGACCTAATTTTAAAAACCCCGAAATCCGTCAACAGTGTGAGGTGATATCTCATGACACGTTCCACTGAGCTACAGCTCAAATAACAAGAAAGTGAAGTAATCGAGGCGCCATGTTCATGCAAAAATAAATCACACCTATTTTAAACTGGACCAAGAAGGGTCGTGTTTCTTCATGAAATGCGGTTAACCAAGAGGTCGAGCTTTCATTGAACAAAACTATTTTATTAACTACTTTATAGGTTAACCACCTTATCAAACATCAGGACTTCTAATGTTTGATAAGGTGGATTTTCATATTCCTATTTCAAAATACTTGTTAAATTATTGTATTGTGGTATGTATTTGAATCATGTGCTTCAGCTTCATGTATGTTATCTATAGTTCTATAATATATCTGTAGTTAGCTGTAGGTAGCATTTTATGTCACTCTGAAGTCCACGTCACGTGATGTATAATAGTATGTATAATTCACATTAAGATAATTACTTTCTCGTCCCTTTAGAAGTAATCCAATAGCTGCAGTTAAAAGTTTAGTCTAAAGTGGTACAATAGCCTACCGGTTGAGTAGATAAGAGATGATAAAAGCTCAGTAGAATCCCACACGGTGGCCACTGCACCCCTGGCCTGCAGGGTCTATCCAAACCAATAGCAAATCCCAGTCGGTCGTGGAGACCAGCTCCTATGTTTTCACCTCTGTCCAAAGAGCAGACAGTGACAGCTGATTTTATTTTAGACCCTCCGCCCCCTTTCAGAGGAAGGGTCTGGCCTGCTTTGGGGGGGGGGGGGGTTAGGTCTCTGTGCATCCCATGACAAGTCCCCCAAAAATCTATATGGATATACTTCCTGTAACTCTCTTAGAACCTGGTGTACTAATAAATCAGGTCAGCCAGGTTTCATCATCACAGCTTCTATCATGGTGGCTGCACTCCACAACAGCTGTTACTGCCTGTCATGATATGCTCCATCATGCCCACACATCCACAACAAACTGGAGAATCCCATTATCTCTTGCTCCTCGTAATCTCCTTGCAGTGCAAAGTGAATGGCAAACAGGTGCAGATTCTAGTGACAGTAAATGATAATGAGAAGGGCCGGCCACGCGGTGTGCTCTGCAGTTGGTCTGAAACAGGGTCAGTGATGTAATGGTATTTGTTAAGGGGCGGGGGTCAAAAGGGCCATAAATACGAGAGACACCCCTGAGTGTGGCAGTGTGAGCCCTCATGCTGTAGGCAGCAGACGGCGGCGCCAGCCTGGCTCTGGTATGAGGTGGACCCGCTCCGGTGTGGTCGCTCAGACAGGGCCGCAGGCATCATCAGTGTAACTCATACCAATATGAGCCAGTGGGCAGAGAATCCAGAATTCTCATTGGAATGTTTGGAAATATTCTACTCAGTTTGGAATCACATGTGCCCAGATTTTGCTAAACTATAGTTACCAATTCTCACTGTCAACATTTTCTTATATTTTTTTCATCTCCGTGCTGTACCATTATTTTGTTAACCACAAACATTTATTAATCGCGAAAATATATATCACAATAATATATTCAGATTCAATTTATTGTCATTGCACTTGTACGGACATTTCGTGTGCGGACGAGAAGTGAGGAGCAGGGAGAAGAGCGGAGCGGGGAGCGAGGAGAGGAGAGAGGAGAGGGGAGCGGTGCGCGGAGATTCCGTGCCCGGAGAAGTGAGGAGCAGGGGAAGAGCGGAACGGGCAGCGGGGGAGAGGAGCAGGAAAGGGGTGCAGAGAAGAGTGCGCGGAGATTCAGTGCGAATGAACTAGCTACAACACGCAGCAGCAAGCGGACTCTTTCTTTGCACTGAAAATTACGTTTTCAGACATAGGATATCGCTTTCGTGTCCTGAAAAACGTTTGACTAGCTCTTGGAAATAAAGTACGTTTTCATAATAAGCAGAAGTGACCTGTCCAGGAGTAATTTGGCGACCAATGCGTCAGTCTTTAGACCCTGCGTCTGCTTCAGTTGCGCCATCGCTGGAATGAATCTACAAGAATCACCTTAGTTTGGCTTCGCTGCTTTTCCCCTTGTCTTCTTCTTTCTTTCTTTCTTTCTTTTGCAGCTAACTGCTCCTGGATTCTTGTCGCCATTGTAACAAACTTTGTGCGAACTGCGAGGAAGATATAGGTAAAAAAAAGCCGCTAAGAACTGTTGCGTTGGTGGAGTAAACAGCGTCTGTGCGGCTTGCGTCTGTGGACTGCGTGACAGGCGTACGTAAACCACGTACCGGCGGCGCAGGCAAGTCAGTTACGCTAGAAATGTAGGGAGATTGATTGACAGCCTGTCAGCTAACAGATAACAAGGCAGTGTTGTTATCTATTGGCAAATGTTTAGCCCCACCACGTCCAGAGTTGATGAATTTTTATTTTCTTTTTTTTGGTCATCATAATTACAAGGCTACTGCACCTCTATAATGCTATCATTGACAATTTGAAACAAAAAAAAATCCTCCATACAACCTTTAAGCAGACAGCATTTATTGAGGTAAGGCAAAATCCTCTCTAAACTAATTATTCAGTAATGTAAAAACAAGCATTTAAATCTGAAATGCAAGCAATTATTGTATTAGTTGTCCGTTTATGCCTCAGTCCTCTCTTAAACGTTATGGCTCCAGGACATTTTTAAAATGTGAAATTGCATTGCTTATAAACATAAAATAAATCATCAAGCCATACAATTTTCTCAAATCTCTAAAACGTTTAATTAAGCTGTAAAGCAATAATGGTTGTAGAATTTTTTTCCCCAAATTCTTGCTTTGGGCTTATTAATATATGTTTCTAAAATGCAATCACAGTATCTTATTACCAATTCTACCTCTTTTTGCGAGAGTATGAAGATGAGATCTCATGTTCTTTTCATGAATCTCTGCTTTGTTCAGCCCCTGTGATCCGTGGCACAGTTAAGCCACACATGGCAAAGAGGCAAGAAGAGGGAGGACGTGCCATTCTTTTTGGCTTACTGGATCATAGACAATTGCTGTTTTTACAATCACTTGTTTCCCTTTTGTAAGAATTTGAGTAAACAATTACAGAACAATACAAACAAATACTTGCGCCCCTTTTGCGGTAAATGTTAATAATAATAACAATGCATTAGTCTTATATAGTGCTTTTCTAGACAGTCACAGTCACTCCAGACCTGTGGTGGTAAGCTACTATTGTAGCCACAGATGCCCTGGTGCAGACTGACTAACACAAGGCTGCCAGTCTGAGCCATCAGCCCCTCCGACCACACACACTCCACTTTCACACCAGGCAATGTGGTTGATGTGTCTTGCCTAAAGACTAGGGCTGGGTGTCATTAAGAAGTTGCCGATACGACACATATCTCGATACAGTGCACTTTCGATTCAATATGATTTATTTCAAATTGTTTTGATACGGTTCAATAAAAAATAAAGGCTAAATCTTGGCTGTGATTCTAAAAGTCTTGTTGAATCACTTCCTGTGCAAAGTTCATATGAAACACAAACATTTTAATCATCAAAACAGTGAAAATGTCAAAAGTGTCGCATAAATGAGTTTTCTTCCTCTAAACAAGCAACAAAACTGTAGCGCTGTAACAAAATTATTTAACAAAATATACCAAAAAATACTCTTGGTGATATATCGATACAGCAGCCCATGATATCGATACTGTATAATCACATTAAACATATTAAACATATTTTTGCACACCTCTGCTAAGGGCGCAATGTCAGTTTTTGCCACTGGCGCCTCACTGTGGCACCTGATTTTCCCATCCAAGTATTAACCAGGCCCAAGTTTCTGAGATCTGACGAGGCTTTGACAAACAACCTGTTATTCTCAGTAGTTGTTACAGCCTTGACAATCACCTGTGACTGTATATTATAATAATAAATTCGTCTTCCATATACTGAATGCAGTAAGATTTAAACAATATGTGCTTAGATTCATACAGTACATGTGCTGTAATATCAGTGTGATCTGTAGTGCTGCTGTAATTAAATACGACTTCAAAGATGGATGGCTCTTTAAATTACAACAGTTAATGTAATTATAGCGGAAAGAAGAGAAAAGTCACGCTGGATGATTGACGTTTGTCTGCTAAGTGTTGCCTCGTCACAAAGCAAATCTGATTGCAGGAGCATAAACAACATTTTGGAGGATGATAATGAGATAATGCCCCATAATTATATTGTAGCGTGATTGAAAATGAGGACAGTCGTTCTGATCTGGATGTGTGTAATATGATGACGGCTATATTAAGAAGTCAAAATACAGTATGGCTGGAAATGAGTCTTGACATAACTGGTGTCACTATTGCTATCTTGTCAGTAGAATGTTATTTTACAACTCTTTCACAAGCCTCATTTACAGACAGTGTCCTCATACATTTATGTTTAAGAACTGTCTACAAATCCAAATATAACAGCAATATGGAGATCAACCAACATGGATTCTTCATGGCCCATGGTGATACCGATTGTTTAAAATTCAGAGGAAACAATAGCCAGTAAGATCTGACAATTTTTTAAGACAATATATATGGCCGATTTTGATTGTTTTCCCCAAATTCTGTAATTTAAGTTGACTACAAACTCCCTCCACAGCCCTTTTTTACCACAAACCTATAGTCAGTGTTGGGAAGTAACAGATTACATGTACCAGAGTTACGTAATCAGACTACAAATTATGAGTAACTGTATTCAGTTACAGTTACTGTTTCAGTGAGTGGTAATTGGATTACAGTTACTTTGTTGAAAAAAATTGATTACACGGTGGTATTTTCCTGTTTTCACATTTGAGGACCTTTTTTTTTTTTTTAATTCCACTCATTGCCGGACACTAAACCAGGACTAAAACCAAGTCTAAACCAGGTCTAAACCAGGACTAAAACCAGGTCTAAACCAGGTCTAAACCAGGACTAAAACCAAGTCTAAACCAGGTCTAAACCAGGACTAAAACCAGGTCTAAACCAGGTCTAAACCAGGTCTAAACCAGGACTAAAACCAAGTCTAAACCAGGTCTAAACCAGGACTAAAACCAGGTCTAAACCAGGTCTAAACCCAGTTCTAAACCAAGTCTAAAACCAGGACTAAAACCAGGTCTAAACCAGGTCTAAACCCAGTTCTAAACCAAGTCTAAACCAGGACTAAAACCAGGTAGAAACTGGGTCTAAACCCAGATCTAAACCCAGGTCTAAACCCAGGTCTAAACCAGGTCTAAACCAAGATTTAACAGGACTAAACCATGCTGCATGGACCGTGTCTCCTCCTCTTCTATCAGTAATATTTTTAATTTGGTCAAGTAAAGTCTGGGCTTTTTATTTTCTTTTAGCAGACAAAAATTCTTATGTTACGATTTCCTCATCTTTGCTTCTCTACAGCAAATCAAGTAATCCAAAGTATTCAGATTACGTTACTTACTTTAAGTAACTTAATGGATTACGCTACAAACTACATTTTGGGGTATGTAATCTGTAATCTGTAGGGGAATACATTTTAAAAGTCACCTTCCCAACACTGCCTATAGGAGAGATGTGTGGTCACGTTTTGCGCAATTATCTCTGCATATTAAAGTGTTAATATAAATCTTTGTGTGTATTTTTTAGGCAGCAGATCAACCAATCAATATTTTGCTCTATCATATATCTATAATATAAATGCTTGCTTTTTTAAATGAAATGGGTAAAAAAAATTA